GGGGGGGGGGGATTCTGGAAGCCCAGCTGTCTTGTATGTTCCTGAGCCACGTACGGAATCCCATCGCATACAGGGTTTACGATGGTTTAAGATTTCATCGTCGAAGATGCCTGTCAGAGCAGCGCTAGGGCCATCTCAGAAGCCTACGATGTTGCTGCACATCCCTAAACCCTAAACCCTAAACTAGCTCGGAACCCTGGTGTATGGCTGAATGCACAGTTTGTGGCTCATCACTATCCGGAAAGCGTTATCAAGATTCGGAGCTCTTGTCTGCTTTGTAGCATGGAGCCTCCTCGACTCCTGGCTTGTCAAATTCGTACCTCTGCGGTCAATGGTACCAGTATTACGGTCTTCAGTACGAGGGTTGCGGAAGCAGAAGGCGGGGACGGCAGGGTCCCAACCAACTCTACACCCTTAACCCCCGAAACTTCAACTCCAAAACCGCTAGGAAAGGCCGTGAGTGCAGAGCATAGCTGCAGTCATCTCCTACCGGTCCTTCTTAACATCTCTGCTGACGCTGACATCCTCAGCCCTATAAACCTAGGACCTTGAAGGACCCCGAACCTAGACCTTCAAGAACATACCCCCAAATCCCAAATCCTGAATCCTATGGCAAACTTCTGAATCCTCTGAACCCTGCCCCTAACCCCGAATCCCGAAACCCTGAATCCCCTTAAAAGGAGATCAGCCCGAGGTCCCGGCTGAAAGCTGATGGAAGTGTTCTTGCGAAGCCTCAGATCGTCCTTCGAGGCCTGCAAGCGGTGGTCGAAGGGCTGCTAAACCCGCAGCCTTGCAAGGGGGGGGGGGGGGGNNATGTAGACATGCATATATATATATATATATGTCTTAGATGCATGTGTATCTGACCGTATGTCTGTATGCATGTAACACCTATAGTCTCCATTGTAGTTCCTGTTTGGGGATGCCTTATAAAATCCTTAGTATATATATATATTTTTAAACCAACAAAAGGAACCACAGTGGAGACTACAGGTACAGGGCCTAGACTGGGGCTTGGGGTTTTACGGGGGATCGGGGAAAGGCTTCGGCTTCTGTTGGTTGAAACTCGGCTTGCAAAAGCCGGGGCAGCTCAGAAGAGGGATGTGGCGTGAGACTGGAGAGGAAAAGTGAATGGGCTTAGGGCTTGTGGGGCTTAATGTTCAGATCCCTTATTCATAAGCCCCCCGCTCCCTAGTAGGGTCCTAAGTCATAATAGAGCCCCCGACATCACGGGGAAGGTTTGTTAGCCAGGGGTCTGCATCAAGCATCAGGGATCAGAGGCTAGTTTTTGCATCCCCCCCAAACAATACGGCATCCTTGTACAAGGACCGTAAAAGGGGCCCCAAGTGAGCGAACTCCACAGATGTTATGAGCAGGTCAGACCATATGCTGAGCACTCCAGAAGTCCTATGCATCCCGGACCCGAAAACGCGAAAACCGCAACACAAATCCACTGTCCTTCATCAGAGCCTAAGGACAGCGACCACAAGATACCCATATCGACGGCCTTTTGGCACCCTGGGCCCTGGAACCCCAAAGCCTCTTTCAGTGGAAGCCCAAAAGCTGGAAACCCAATAGTCGGAATCCTGGAAAGTAATGTATGGGGAATCCCAGCACTACTTGTCCTTAATCCGGTTTCCGAGATTTACTATAGTTATCACTTTGAAGGGCTCTGGAGGAGGGCCCACTAGCCTTGCCGGTGATCGGTGTGCAGTCCGCTGTGTCAATCCAGATGGGCGTGCGCGACGTCCATCTGGGATACCTGCAGAGGGCATAGCCGCAAATGTGTAGGGCTTCTAGGGATTGTGTCCTGCATGCGGTCTGGGGCGAGCTAGAACTCATGAGTTTGAGTTCGCTGCACCGACCATCATGCACTCTGAGGTTCTCGAGCTACGTCGGCTCCAGAACTATCCGCGACCCTTCGCCTGAGCCATGGCCTAAACAGAAATGAGTCGCCCGAAGTTTTAGGAGATGTCCAGAGCCCTTTTGGCCTCTTGAGCTCTGACCGAACCATAGGGCTGATACAATCGCGCGCGCGCGCGCGTGTATGGCGCCTGCAAAAGAAAGGTAGGAACTCGGGGCAGACACGAGAAGCAGTGCATCCGAAAAAGAAAAGAAAACTTCAAGGTGCCAGGTTCTGTGACGTGGTAGTCCACTCCACCATGCGCGCACGCCGAACCACCTCAAACCTAAACTTCCTGAGCCCACACCCCGTCCGCCCGAACTCTGGCCTAAGTCCAAAAACCCCGAAACCCTAGTACCTACATCCCTCAACCCAAATGCCCGGACATCGCACCTTGCAGGATTCCTTATAGGATCCCTGAAGCAGGAACCCAAAGACCCTCAATTTACAAACCCCACATCGCAAAACACAAACCGGAACTCCTCCAGGCAAAAAGGTAGATCTAAGCAAACCCTAAACTCCTAAACCCTGAACCCTACCTGTGGCCGGAAACACCTACCCTTTTTAAGGACTTATCTATAGAAACCAAAATAAGAAACCCTAAAAAGGTAGGCAAATTTGTAGATCTAAGCAAACCCTAAACTCCTAAACCCTAAACTCCTAAACCCTAAACCTTATAACCTTATGGAACCCCACCTTGCAGGATCCGTCTGCAGGTGGAGCAAGCCATAGTCGGAACACTCGAGATCCCAGCTTCCCAGCCTTCAGGTCAGGGTTTGGGGTATCAGGGGGTTGAGGGTATCAGGGGGTTTAGGGTTCAGGGGTTTAGGGTTGAGGGTATCAGGGCTTAGGGTTTAGGGTTTAGGGTTGAGGGTTTAGGCTTTAGGGTTGAGGGTATCAGGGGGTTTAGGGTTTAGGGGTTTAGGGTTTAGGGTTAGGGTTTAGGGTTTAGGTTTAGGGTTTAGGTATCAGGGCTTGGGGGTACGAAAGGGGTTCTCTTAGGGTTTGCGGCGGGGCGGTTTGTATGCATAATTGTAGAATCTAATAATAATAATAATAATAATATATATATATATATATAAATATATATACATGCATGCATATGTATATACACACACACTTACTTACATTCATGCATAAATGCATCCATAAATGCATCCAGACAACCAGTCAAACAAGCAACCAACCAAACACACAAACAAACAAACAAACAAACAAACAAACACGCAGACAAACAAACGGACAACCATGCATACATACGTCCATCCATCCATCCATCCGTCCATACATACATACTGACACAAACCCACATACATACATACATACATGCATGCATGCATGCATGCATGCATGCATGCATGCATGCATAGGGCTTAGGCTGTTAGCATATTAGGATAATCGGGTATAAGGGTTTAGGATGTCAGTCTTGGGCCCAGACAGGTTTATGCATGATTGAACGTTGAGGCTTCTCATGATTTCCGAGAACTCCACAGGCCCGAACTAGCTTCCACAGTGAGTTTTGGTTCGTCAGCTTCTGCATGACTCCAAGTCTGGGCAGTCTAGGGTTCACAATGTAGAGGCCTTCATAATTAGAATAGGGTTTTGGGGTATATTATTCCATAATTACAACAAGGAACTCCCCAAAATAGTATAGGTCATAATTGAGGCCCATTTATTATATGGTTTGTGGTTTCAAAATCCCACGGCGACTTTGCCAGAGTTCTGCCCAGATACAGTGCTTTGACCCCTCGCTTATCATCCTCATCCCTTCACCTAGGTGACCCTAAGGGTCCATGTTTTCATATAGCATATACATGGGCCCTAAAGTACCTATATAGGGACTACATTAAGGCCAATGTATATACTATTTGGGCACATGGACCCTTAGGGTGAGGGATCCAGCCTTAGAATCTTGATGTTGAGCAGCTTTGGGGCGCATAGTAGGTCGACAAAGACAAGCTCCCGGCGCTACTGCCCATACTTGGGGCCTATACATATATATATATATATATAGATAGATAGACATAGATATAGATACAGATAAAGATATTATGAGGAAAGGCAGAGTGCGGTGTAGGGGCCTGGCTTGAACGTTAGAGTGTTGCAGCCAACTTATCTCTCGAGTCTGAGCGCCTTTCAGTTTCGAGACGGCAACCCTTTGCTCATCCGGAGCCTTTGGGTTTAGGGTTTAGGGTTTAGGGTTTAGATTTTAGGGTTTAGGGTTTAGGGTTTAGAGTTTAGGGTTTAGGGTTTAGGGAACCTCCATATAACTGAAGCGCTCGCAGCTACAGACCTGTCGCCCAAGGCGCCTTTCCAAGGAGCCACGCACACAAACCATTTCACCAGGCCTGCTCATGACACAGCTCGCGCCAGAGACGCTGAGGACCCACAAACATGTGGGTAGTTGTCAAAATTATGGTCCCTTTTGGGGTACCCTAAATAGGTGCCGTATTATGATAAGGACCCAAAAAGGGACCATAATTTTGACAACCAGCCATGTGTCGGGATGTGCGGCAAGTTGGGTGGACGAGACTGTTGCATGTATGCAGAACACCGATGTCTACCATTGTCAATGGAACCTGCGCACTAGGCGGGGCACTTTGTGTCACAGTGGCGAAGCTCGAAAACGATGCCAATGCGTGGCATGATGTCAGCCTCAGTGAGTGGCTTCGACGCCGAATGACAATGCTACATTGTCGTCTTGAACACCTGCATTTTGGAGACGTGCTGTTAAGCTGGCGACATACCAATATGCAGCAATGCAACGGGTGAAAGCCGTTGAAAGCGATTAGGGCTATTCTTTTCCTCTTGAAGAGCGACTGTGAGCGCTTCTGCCATCCACAGGATTTTTTAGTATAACCCTAAAGGTCCAAGTACGTAATAATCATATACTCTCCCAAATATTAACCTAGAAAACGACTATCCGCAACCAAAGTACCTTATTGTTGGGTCCTTTGGACCCTTAGGGTAACATGGGCAGGGTCTACTTTTGGAACATCTCAGACTGAGCTCATTTTAGTGCCGTCGAGCCTGGTTCTAGCAATGGTCACCTCAGGCTTACCCTGAGGCTCCAAGTATACAAATAGTACCTACTTTGGGGTCTAAAGTCTATATATAGTACCTACTTTGGGCTATTTGGTCACCTCAGGCTTTTAGTCGCACTGGAGCCGCTGACATGATAATGACAGTGATGGCGAGTGACCGCTTCCAGCAGCGTAGGGCCTAAATAATTACCTATACTATTTTGGGGGGTTCCTTACTATAGTATACCCCAAAGCCCTGTTCTAGTTATTAAGGCCCCTATATTCGATCCTGAAGCTCTGCTGGGGGCTGTGGGGGCTGCGAATGCAACAGAAGCCTCACAGTACAGCCTGAGGCCCTGGCAGAATTCTGAAAGTGGGTTGCAAAGAGTGCACACCACAAGTGGTCTTCAACTGTATATAGCCGTAATACTAGGTTCCACACATATGGAGGTTTTCGAAAATAGGGGACCCTAATATAGTACCCTAAATAGTAGGATCCTTATTACAAGGACCCCAAAATAAGCCTAATTTTCGGAAACTCCCATATCATGAAGGCTTGCACCTCTATTCGACACTGCTTTCCTGACTTTGCAAAGCTGACCACACATTGGTTGATGCTGGCAAAACGGCCGAGACGGCTAGGGGCGTCGAGGAACGGATCTTCTGCAGTTGGCCGAATTGGAACAAGTGTTTGTCGGGTTCACCACAACTTCCTGCTTCAAGCAAAGAGTCTGTTTGGTTTCTAACTTGGTTCTAGTTTCTTGAGGCTTACTGTGATGAGTTGAGTCTTCAGGTTTACAAATTCCCGAAGCCTAGGTTCGAAACAATAATACGTTACGCAAGCTTGCAAGGCGCATGAGTCTCTATGTATGATCGTGAGACCGACCCTCAACCCTGAACCCCAAGTCCTAAATCGGTTTCACACCCTCTAGGTTGGACACGAAGTTGAATCTGTGTTGATGTGGCATCGACATCCCAAGTGCGAACATCTCGATTGCTTCTCCATTGGTTGTGAGCTTTAAGGCTTTATGGTGGCTTTGTGGAGCAACTGCAATTCGTAACCAACGTATATGTATGTATGTATATCTGCAAGTAAGTAAGTATGTATGTTTGCACACCTACTAAGAGATGCACATGCACACATCACATTGAAAGCAGCATGTTGACCTTTCTGCTTTTGACTTAGGTGCTGAAGTCTACAAAAGACTCTTTTAGTGTCTGGTTTCAGCCTGAGACTGTGCGCGGTACTGTCTCAAGTGCAATCGCCACCTTGAGCACACCTTCATGGGCTACAGTTGTAGCTGACATTCGGAGCTTTCAGCGCTTAGTTCAACATCGGTCAGTATGAAGTCTGCTTGACGCGCACTCTGGGGGCCATAAACAAAGTGGGATCCTCAGTCCATATATATATATATATATATATATACATATATGTATATATACTCATTGTATCTGGAGTCTAGAGTCTGAAACTAGGGTGCCATATGTTCTATGAGATGAGACACCCGCAGTACAATCCCAACCTCGTCTGCCGCAGGACGCGCGCCCCTAGACCCCTAAACCTTAAACCCCATGCGGCTCCTTTTTTGTCCTACGGTGAAGCTATCTCCTGCGCCCCCTCGTCGGGGCGGAAGACGTAGTTGGCGTGGAGGTCTGAGTCCACCTCTTGGTGGTGTTTAAGGCTTTAGGGTTTAAGGTTCAGGGTTGTTCTAAGCTTAGGGTGTTGCGGTTTCGGGGTCTAGGGTGTTTTTGGCTTTGGGTCTTAAGGTTTCAGAAAGGCTTCAATCATAGGTTCGATGTTTAGGGTTTAGAGCTGCAGGGTTCTATGCTTCGGTTTTTAGGGGCTTAATTAGGGTTCTATCTTTAGGGTTTAGGGCTTTAGGGATCTGTGTTTAGGGTTTCAGAAGAGCTTTAAGTATGGGGGTTGGGGTGGTGCGTGCGTGGGGCTTGCTTTGTAGGGGGGTTTGCATCGTGTTTGAATGGGCTTAGGGGTTCGCATTTATGCATGTCTATGCACGGCAGTTTCGGTCATGGCGTTTTTTACCCTCATGCAGTCCATACTGCACATACCTCAGCCCCAGCCATTGACTCATGTAAATAATACACACACCCTAAACCCTAAACCCCAAACCCTACAAACCCCATTATTGAACCCTAAACTCTACAGCCTACACCGCAGCTTGAGGCCTCGGCGCTTCTTCACGGTGGCACTTATGACTACTTAGCTCGGAAGCTCACCAGAAACGGAAACACCCTCAATGCGTGTGCTGTGGAGCAGCCGGCCTCCGTAAAGCGGGAAGGAACCCAGACCTTAGGAGGAGTAGACTGGAGACCTCAAAAAGTGGGATGAAGATAGGTAGGATTAAGGATATCTTATAGAAGGACTCTTACCTATAGTCTCCATTGTAGTTCCATTTTTTGGTTAAACCAGTTTTATATTTAGGATCCTGTAAGTAAGGGAGCCCCAAAAAGGAACTAACAATGGAGACTATAGGTATTGTGGGATTACACCACCTACGTTCAACATACCCCAGGGAGCCCCTTGAATTCAGTGAGGGGATCCTCGCTCACGAGCTCGAAAGTTGACTAGGTTTAGGGTTTAGGGTGTGGGGTGTGGGGTTTAGGTTTAGGGTTTAGGATTTAGGGTGTGGGGTTTAAGGTTTAGGGTTTAGGTTGTAGGGTAACGGAGGGTTTCGGGTCTCTAGGGAGGGAAGTACACAACAAAATCCTACAAACCCCGAAGCCTCAACTCGTACCACACATCCTCGGGTTCAGCCAGCAGCGGTCGCCCTTCGGAGTTTGATTAGGTGAAACTACATGCATAGAACTTGGTTCACGAAATACAAGGCTTCCATAAACAAAACTATCTGGACCAATGACCCATGCGTATGGTTTCTACATTCGAGGACGAAGCTCCAAAAGTGTGAGGGCTCACGCTTGCCTGGAACAGCAGAACACATGAGCTGGTACCAGGGCCTGGATTAAAGGCTTCGAGTATAGGGGGGCCTATAGGGTCCAGAGTCTACCAATCCCAAAACACACGGCTCGGTCTTCTGCCGCAAGTTTTTGGCTCCAAGAGTCTTCAGCTTTGAAAACCGCGCATACTTGAGACAGACCCCTAACCAATGGACCATTCTGACATTGCTGACCATTGCTTCTGGAATCCCTCCAAACCTGTTCCCTACTTGTCCAGTATCATGGGGAATTAAAGGTTAACCTTTGGGATTCTAGTACCCTAAAAGGTGAAAGGTTACCTACTCTACTGCTAGGGCTGCTAGGGTTCCGAAGCCCTTAGTTACCTGATTGCAGCAACAGACCTAGGAGGACCTTAAGGTTATCGGATGCGGAGTCTGCTGCATGCTGGGCCGCACTTTGCAGTCACTTTGAGACAACCCTACCTGGACTCAAAAGTATGCAAATAATAGCCCTTTATGGGTCTTGGGCCATGGTTTTGCCTACTTTGGGGGGTTTAGGTAAGCCCTAACGCGCAAGATGACCGAAGTCTGAATGCACTTGGAGTGGACGTCAGATTTACCTGGCCCTTCTGGAAACCCTTCCAGAAACCATTACAGCCTTCCAGCAAGAGTTGGTAACCCTTGTAGACAAAACAGCCCTGAATCCTAAACCCAGAATGTCAGGTCGAGGCAAATAAAGGCAGCTTGCTTTTCGGCAGCGCCTCCAGATCAGCTCTAATTTGGTTCAGGCTTTAGGCTTGAGGGTTGTGGGGTGATCAGGCTAGTGCTGGGACGAAGCTACTGAAGTTCTCCAAACGCGGTGTTTGAGATCTGTGCTGTGTGGCTGGGTGAACAGTCATACATACACCTCAAACCGCCAGAGTTGGTGTCTTCTTTCGGTGGAAAGCTTCTTTACCGTTGAGCCCCACACTCTACGGATACCTCTTACAAACTGGGATCAAAAGCTCCGATATCAATATATCACAAGCACCCCCAGAGACCTCTAATCCTAAATTCCTAAATCCTTAAGCTTACATCCCCAAGGGTCCAAAGGACCCAATAATCAGGTACTTAGGTTTCGGATAGTAGTTCTGTAGGTTACTATCTGGGAGGGTATATGATGATTAAGTACCTGGACCCTTAGGACACGCAAGCCGCGCGTAGAGTCTCCCAATCCCAAGCCACAGGTGAACATCACATTAATATGGGTAGGGTAGGGTAGGGCTCCTTACTTGGGATTATCACATGATTTGGGCATAGTAGGGTAGGGTTCCTTAGTTGGGATTCCTTGGATTTACTTCCTTAAACAGGTTTGGTAGGGTTCCTGAGTTGGGATTCCCTTGATTTATTTCCTTAAACAGGTTTGGGGGGTTCTGCAGCTGCAGCTCTTGTTGCGGAAAACAAACCCTAAACCCGGAACCCTCAACCCTAAACCCTAAACCCTAAACCCTAAATCCTAAACCCTAAACCCTAGGGCTTCGGAAAACCTAATTGCTAGCAGCCTCCTGAAGGTCCTGCAGCTCGCAGACGACCTCGCACAAAGCATTCGCCCTAAAGCGTGGTTTAGGGTTTAGGGTTTGGGGCCTTAGGGTTTAGGGTTTAGGGTTTAGGGTTTCAAGCCAAAGCCACTAAACCCTAAAGCCCAACCCCTTGAGCCGTGCACTTCATCGAACTGCAGATTCCCACGATAAGATCGGGATCTGCAAAGGTACGTAACCATGTCCCCTTCGTTTGTAAAAAAACAGATTACCATGCAACCATATACCCCGAAACCGCACTCGAATTCATAAGGCCCTCGTAGTGAACCCGAGTCCTCAGAACCTGAACCCGAAAACTCTTTATGTTATGGCATTGAGAACTGAGAGCTCGTTGTGCTAAAGTTTGATGTTCGGAGCAGCTCTAATTGGCCACTTTCCCTTAGCGTGAACTTTTGGAAACTTGGCCAGCATCCGAAGGCAACCCACGTGCCTTCAAAGCGCACAAGAAGTTTTTCTCTTCGAGAAAATGTCTTCACAACTTGAACGACAACCATCCTTTCATTTGCAAGCGGTAATACGACGAAGCATGTGGGCCATGCATCGATTTCAGTGCTGCACAGTTTGAAGACAAGGAGGCACTCAAACCAACAACAGGAAGCACGAAAAGGTTTGGTAAGGATCATCTTGCAATCTTGTAGAATCGTACGGGAAGGCAGGTCTGGGGATTAGGCTTCGGATTAAAACGCAACCAAAGCGTGACCTGCCTTGCCCATGGTGTGGACCATCACGAGCTGTCGAAAAGCGTTGCAATCCTTGCGGGGCTTGGGATGCTCAGCGAAGACAGGTTAGTTTCCTAGCACATGAATGACGTGGGAGCTTCCTGCTTGATAGTCCATCCGAATGTGCCCGGAACAATCCTCCTGTCATGAATTCATCTTCGAGTCCGCGCATATCCAAGAATGAGCCATCCACCCACTCAGCAAGCTGAATCCACCCACAAACCCTCAACCCAAAAACACCTAAACCCCAAACCCTGAACCAACAGACGATATCGGCAAAGATTTTTTCGAAAAGCTGAAAGCCTTAGAGTAGGCTTTAGGCTTAAGGATCCAGGCTGAAGCTAGGAAGGCATAGCTTGATCTGCGCATCAGACGTGTGCGTGGTAGAGTGCCTCTGTATCTGCGAGGTTTGTGACTTATCGCCGGTTCGCACTCATGCGCGGCACACATGTTCATACCAGGGTATGTGTGCAGACATACACACTTGCATGTGTGTGTGTGTATATGTATATGTATATATATATATGTGTGTGTGTGTGTGTGTTTACACATATATAAGCACGCAATTTGGTATGTGTACATATATACATATATGCTGATTGTTTATGTATACACGCATGCTGTGCGGTTCCTGCACGGTTAGACTGACAAATAGCGAGCCAGTTTGTATAGAAACATAGATGGGCAGATGGGCAGAAAGGTTGATCGAAATATAGACGGCTAGATAGACACATAGATAGATCGATAGAGAGATCAATGGATGGATGAAGATGAGCTGGATGGATGGATGGATGGATGGATGGATGGATGGATGGATGGATGGATGGATGGATGGATGGATGGGTGGAGAGAGCCGGATGGATGGATGGATGGATGGATGGATGGATGGATGGATGGATGGATGGATGGAACCACAGATAGATAGAATCGAACATGAATCCCTCCAGCCTTCTCGCTGGATGGATCCATGTGTTGCATTCCACGAGCCTAGTCACTGTCTTAGGGTTTAGGGTTTAGGGTTTAGGCTTTTCGGAATGATGCCACCGGTTACCGACCACAAGTACTGCTTGGGGGTTTTAGGCAATACCTCTTAATTAAGGAATATACCTGGAATCATAATATTAGGGCCATATAATTTACGGTACATTCCTTAATTAAGGGGTATTGGGCTCTCTATGTAGGTAATGGATGTGAAGAGCACATTTGATAGTGCTCCCTGTGTCCTGCGCAGCTCGTTTGGCCAAACTTGCTGCATCTACAATCCCCTAACCCCCCAGTTACCTACTATAGAGGGTACTAGAGCCCCTGGGCCCTATATAGTAGGTACCTGGGAGGTTAGGGATCCCTAAACCCTGAGCCTAAAATAGTCTGCTCTGTCTTCTCGACAAGCAATGGTACTCCACTGCACACATCGAAGGAAGGGTTCTGTCGACTCTTGCGGGTTAGAGGGTATTGGGCTTGAGCTTGGTGGGTTCCATAGCAGGTTACCATACTCCAAACCCGAATTCCGAGAGCAATCAGTCAACAACTCATGCTTCGACTACGCGAAACCCCTGACAGGACATGCAGATTAGAGCTGCAACGAACACGCTCTCAACAAATGCGTCTCTTGACTCGACTAACATAGCATGCCTGGAAGCCTCGCGACTCACAATCGCAATGCTTGTGAACTATAGGGTCTGAGACGTTCAGTCTAATAAAGGGGCCATAATAATTAGAATAGGGGTTTGGGGCCATTATACTAAAATTATAACAAGGAGCCACCCAACATAACATAGGTAATCATCTAGGCCCCTACATTAGGGTTGTCGGCTTTCAGCTGTCGCCTGAGGCTTTGGGGCTGAAGTTTAGGGTTCAGGATTTGTAGTTTTGGGTGCCGATGTATGACTCCGCACTGAAGGCCACGGTTTAGAACCAGATTTCAGTCGTTGCAGGCTAGACGCCTGACACGTCGTTGTTGTAGACGATTCATCTAGACCCGGCTCTAGTTAAACAGCCAGGCCCCTATGAGCTTGTAGAATACTCCTCCAAACCCAGCTTAATTAGGCCGCTGGAATCTTGCAAAAAAATACTCCTCCAAATCTTGTTCTATATACTTATTCACGCCCCTTAATGCAGATTATCCGATGGAGTTCCTACTTGGCTTCGCATCTTTCGGGGAATCCTTCATGTTTAGAAAGCCAGTCGGCGGGCTTTGCAGCCTCTAAACATGCTGGCAAGAAGTCCCAATGGTCCCTGCTAGTTTAAATCCTGGAGCCCGTCCGGCCTGCCAAAAGTCCACTGTCTTCTGCAGCAGGATCGAGTGGCAGGCAATGCAAATGAAGTTCATGCCTGCGCTCATGTGCTCAAAAATCTCCACACTGCTCTTTTCTGGGACAGGGTCTTAAAACACAAGGATACCTGGTACAGGGAAGGGTGCTAAGTGCTCTTAATGTTGGGGGGGGGTACATGATGCTATATGCATACATATGTACCGTATGGAATCCTCGTAGTAAGGATATTGGGGCTCCTGTGTCTTCTGGCATGCTATGCCTTGTTCCTACATGCTTAGAGCAAGGCTTGACAATGGGCAGCTCGGATTAGTTGCTGCTGCGTCCGAGTGAATGGTCCTAAACAAGCTCGTCTCAACACGAGCCCTTCAAACCAGAAAACAGGAACAACGCCCACCAACTCGGAACACCCAGCATGATCACCTAGGGACATGACCCATAACCCAGAACCTCAACTAAAACCTCAAGCCAACCACAGAGATCTCATCAAACCCCCGCAACCTGAACACCTATAACACTCCTTCGATGTACCCGAGTTGCCTGAGATGAAGTCCCACATGGCACGGCCACCACCAGTTCTTAGGCAAGGCGATGTCCAAAATTTTGGGCAGCATGCAAGGACTAGGAGCTTACAGTATTGAGGGTAAAGGGATTCGAATGTCAGGGTTTGGAGTGAGGGCAGGGGCTATAGCCTTTTCAGATCTGGGGTCTGCCTCTTGAATTCTAGAATAGGGTTTTGAGGCCCATTATATCGTATATTTATAATAAGGAACCCCCAAAAATAGTATAGGTTATTGCTAAGTAATGAAAATAAGGAATGCCCCAAAAAAGTATAGGTTATTGCTTAAGCCCTTTTTTATGTCAAGCCGGCCCCGAGCCCTAAGTGCTATCCCTCACCGTCCATGCACGTAATTACGCAGGTACCTTGAGTTCTGAAGCGCCTTCTTTAGAGCCAATGCACAAACCATAGAGGCGCCTGTACCCCTTTAGGGTATGTGGGAACTTTGCCCCGCATACTCCAAGGGCGCCGCCGGACGCCACAGTCGGAAGGAGACTCGCAAAGGGCAGCAAACGAAAGTTACAGTAGGATTACCCTCAGTCAGGAGTCCTTACAACAAGGATGTTGCTTATTTTCTATTTGTTGGGCTATTTGCATGTTTTAAGTGTTCATGTCTATATTTGTTTTTATTAAGATTTAACACTGCTTATTTCCCAAACCCCAAAACCAACAGCTTCTGAGACAGGAGCTTGGGCTCGCTTGCCAAGGAATCAATGTAGCCCACCTGTGAGAGTCGGGTGCTGTCGCATGATTTTACAGGGGTTCTAGGGGTGTTACTATGGTCATTAGTGGATGTCATTCTGATGATTACGGATATTGCGATCCTGATTCTTGCTTCGCATTACTGATTTTACGAGTCTGATACAACTATGAGCAGCCGCGTCGTTGTTCTTACTAATCCTGAACTACTATGGGCACTGCCCTTCTCAGGCTCGCGCTGTGGTGGTCCCGAGGATCTCTTCGCTGGTACCTGCTTCCACGATTTGGGGCTTAGGGCATGAAGATTTGGTTTAGGGTTTAGGGTCTAGGGTTTAGGCATGAAGATTTGGGTTTAGGGTTTAGGGTTTATAGGGTTTTGGCATGAAGATTTGGGTTTAGGGTTTAGGGTTTAGGCATGAAGACTTGGGCACAGGGCTCCGGGATTTCTGCGAATCTCATGTACTCTGAGACCAGGGCTCTGCGATTCAAGAAATGTAGGCTTTTTCAAGGTTCAGGAATTGTGCGATGTCTGCTCTCAGATTTGAGGCTTGCACTTCCTGGACGTACCTGTGGCACGGTGGCTTTGCAGACAACCTGCAGAGTCGGAAGCCTAATCCCCACAAGCCACCAACAAAAAACGCTTTCACTTGACAGTCCGGCAAAACATCCCACTGTAGACCCCGACTCAGAAAACTCCAAACCTTCAATTCTCACTTCACTTGAAGAACAAGGGCGATGACTTTGGCCCGCATCCCGCCACTGCGCACCAGGATAGTACACATTGAGGTTCAGGTTACTGGAGCCTGCCAAGGCATGCCCGCCAGCGGTCTGCACGAAGGAACCGCAGTGGCGGGTCGAAGTACGGAATGCTATGACGTTGGAGAATTTTGTGATAATTCATGCTGGGACTCCCTGTTCTGTGCCTCGAGGGCGTAAGGACTATGATGTTCTTACTTTGTGGCTTCTGCTGTCGGCCTTTTCCGTTGGGCGGGTTCAGGGTTCAGGATTAAGTTTCTTGTGTTGAAGTTTGTAGATCAGAAGCTGTGGGGCTTTGGGCTTGGGGTTGGTTTCGGGTTGAGTTTAGGGGTTTAGGGTTTAGGAACACCCAAAACCAAGAATCCCGCTGCTTCATGAAGTCTGTGCAGACAGAAACCTGCGAGATGAAACACATGCAACAAGAAAACAAGAGCAGGGCCAGACCTGGCACCTTAAATTAAGGCTTGGTACGGCTGATGGACAAAATCCTGCATGACCTTATATACCTAAACTATGGGATTTATGGTACTATACTATATTTGGGTCATGCAGAATTTTGTCCATCAACAGTATCTTCCAAAACAACTGATCTTAAGCAAACCCTGCTTCTACACCCATGCTATGTCGGGATCCCTTTAGTAATTAGAAAAGCCACAGAGAATCACTGGTCCCTTCGTCAGATTCGCACATAGATGGGACCTTCCAGGTGCTTCGCCCGCACGATAATCTCCTTCACCAAAGCTCCACCTCCAAGGGTTCGAGATTCGCTTGGCTTGTAGGGCGAGCTTAGGAAGTGAAAACCCCGCATTAATTACGACCGAAAACATCCCACAAGCCTCATGCAAGGGCTCTACTGTTTCAGGGCATTTCAGGGTACTGAAAATGGTATGTAGCCTTACGTGCTCGTCGTCGTGGAGTGTATGCGCACCCTCTTTGTCAAACCCTAACAGAGGTCGTCACCCGCAGCCCAACAATCTCAAATGGCATGGAGACGGGACATTGCATGAAGTGTCACACTAAGATAGGGCCTTAACAGTTAGAATAGGGTTTGTGGGCCCATTATACTATAAATATAACAATTGAGGAACCCCCTAGATCATATTGGTAATTATATAGGGCCTTATTTGTCTCAATACTGGCAGCACCGGAGGTGGAGCAACCAGTGTAACGTAGCCTTTCTTGCCATGATCTGGGAGCCTTTGGGTGTCCTAAAACCTAAACCCTAAACCCCTAAACCCTAACCGTAAGCAAACCCCTAAACCCTAAACCCCTAAAGCCCTAAACCCCTAAAGCCCTAAACCCTAAACCCTAAATTGAAGCCCAGCATCCCTGCCTGAGAACTTGCCCTCCGTCGTCGTATGCAAGACCTGCATCTCCTCGTCGAAGAGCTTCGCCTGCCCCCGGAGTCAGCAGACTGTGCGTTCTGCATCGTCCCGGAAGCTGAGACGTTGGAAAAAAACCTATAATATATATGTATATAATAAATAAAACTAGATAAACAAATAAATAACAATATATATATATATATAATAGATAGAGATCCGGTTTGAGCCCTTGCACCCGTGTACCACAACTCCAAAAGCCAACAAGGTCCACCTGGACTTCAATCCCACAACGTAATCGGAGACTCCAGTATCCCTTAATTAAGGAACATACCTTAGATCATAGTAGGGATCCTACTATAACGTAAGGTATATTTTTAATTAAGGGATATTGGAGTCTCTGGGTAATCCCCCTTCTTAGGTCTTTGGTCTCCGAAGCGCAAGTATGGGCGGACCTCTCCTCTGATCCCTCAGAGAGCCCAGTACCCCTAAAATAAGGCATGGCTCTCAAATCTATCCCTATGGGTCCATGTACTCATATAGTATATACATTGTCCTTAATGTAGTCCCTATATAGGTACTTGAAGGCCCATGTATATGCTATATGAATACATGGACCCTTAGGGTATAGCGGGTGGCTTCATTCAGAAGTGTTGGGCTCTCTGAGTCTGTGGAAGATCGGCCCGGGTCGTGGACACTAGAATCAGCGCCACACTGGAAGCTTTCAACTTCGCGTTTCGGCTTGTCACCGTTGTCCTAAGAGATCCTCTTAAGGACGCAGCAAGTTAAATGGCGCTCAGACGATGATGTCCTGCTGGCAGGCGCTAGCTTCCAGCCCTGCATCGCACAGCAGCTTCATGGTATTGCTGTAGTTGGCGAGGCGTGCATACCCGTGAGGACCCACCTGCAGCGATGGACACTGGCCATTTTCTGACGGGATTGCTACTGAATGCACGACCAGCAAAACAAATGGACAGAAGCTCATGGGGCAGAAATGACTGCAATAATTTATCCCCCCTGGCAACTCAGCCCCCGCCAATGTTATCAACGAAAGTGAGCCTCACAGCCAACTGTGACTACGACGAACAAAAAGAAGAAGGTTACTTGTGCAAATGCTAAGAATGACACGAATGGCAATACACTCAAGCACCATCCAGCCTGCACACCATCGATGAAGACATGGGGCACGCCGAAGGGTCCAGGACCGGGTTTGGAAAACTCGGGGAAGCGGGTGACGAAGTAGCTCTCAGCCTGCAAAGAGTGGGTGCAGGGTTTCAGAATTTAGGGTTCCGTGTTTGGGGTTTTCGGGGCTTGGGGTTGGGGGTTTTAGGGTTGGGCGTTCCGGGTGAAATTCCGAACCCTGAACAAATTGGTCACAGAGAGAACATCTGCCTCTGCAAGGAGTTCGTCGCCCATTTCCGCGTTGCAGGTCTCCTCAGCTAACGCAAGCTGCCTGGCTTCACTAGCTGACTTAATGATTTAATGGGTTTAGGCGCGGTTTAGGTCCTAGGGAACTTGACGTTCCGGGTGAAACACATTTGCAGTCGAAGCCCGCGCTTGCAATTTCGAGTCGGAGTTTCAAATATAAAAAGTAAAGTAGGGAAACACCCCTCATAGTTTCCCAAAAACCACAGAACCCCAAACCTCTAAGAATCCGAGCAGGCATACTCTAAACCCCCTACCCCAACGCCCTAGCATCCAGAAAACAAGTTAACGACACCAAGTCCAACCCCAACTGGCTGCCATGTCTCCACCTTGGGAACCTCGATGCTGGCTAGAGAGCTGCAGCCATGCACGCGAGCGACCTTACGACAAGCTTTGTAAAGACTGTCCTCGAGTCTTTCGAAGATCTTAGGGTAGAGGGTTTAAGCAACAACTCTCTGTTGACTTCCATTGCTACGAATATTGCCTGGCTGGCTGACATGAGTGGACCCATGTCGTGCACAGACAACTTGCCAGCATCGGCAATGAGAGCCCGTAAAGCTTTGAGCCAACCCAAGCACATTGTATCCTAACAAGCTTTAAACCCCGATCCCAAATCCGAAGCCCAAATGAGTGGAACATCTGACTGGAGAACCTAGTCTCTTCTTTGCTGGAGCCTTCGTCCCTGTATCCTTTCAAAGACTCCCGTATTTCACCCCCTCACAACCCCTCACGGCTCGTGCGATCTTCACATCAAGGCTTCCCGAAAACACGCAACCCGAACCTAGCTCTCATAATCGGATCTGGAATCATTGTTTTCTTGAGTTCAGAGGGCCCTAAACCCTAAACCCCTAAATCCCTAAGCACCATAACCCCGAAACTCCCAGATCCTAAATTATCCCTAAATCCCTAAACCCTATAAGCCCTAAGCCCTAAATCCCTGAGCCCTATAAACACTAAGCCCTAAATCCCTAATCCCTAATCCCTAAACCCTATACCCTAGACCCCTTTCAGGTCAGGCGACCAGCGCTTGCTTGTCCTTCGGCTCTACGAGCGGGCTCTCGTTGAAGCAGTTTAGGAACCTCCCAAGAAGCGAGGGTTCAGGGCTTGAGGGTTTTAGGGTTTAGGGATTTAGGGATTTAGGAGTTTAGGGCTTTGGGTTGAAGGCTTATTCATTTACAGTTTCAGCTTTGGGGAATAGTTTCGGGATTATTCGGGAAAGCGGTTAAACCAGCCCTGCCTCATGATGTCTGCGCCTGTGCTGTTGGCCTCTCGCTGTGCACAAAGGAAATATCGCGTCATGGGGCAACCAGGCTCTTCTAGCACGCACTCGTAGCTGCCGTCCTGTCCTCCGGGAAAACATGCTGCTTGTTGCATCACGAACCACGGATTAGGCGCGTAAGGCTTCAACCCGAAAGCAACGATACTAACCTCCCAGACATGCGATCCAGGATCCGGTCCTTTGCGGATGCCCATGTGAAGCTGGAAGTGTACACCTTCTTGAACACCAGGAGTACTGTAGATCTCCTGCCCAAAGGCTGCATGTACCTTTATAGTAAATACTTAGGCCTTAAAGGGGTCCCTATATAGGTACTTTAAGGCCTAAGTATCTACTATAAAGGTACATGGAGCCTTTGGGCTGGGGCTTAGGGCTTCCTTGGGGTCGGAGCGTCAGGATGGCTGGGGCCTCATCGTCGATCCCTTGTCCCGGCTCCATAATTCGTAAAGGGAAGACCTAAGCCTCCTCCCAGCCTCTTCAGTATACCCATAGGCCCCAGAGTAGTTCCTTCTTGGGGTTCATATTTTAGAAACCTATAAGGTAATCCCAAAAAGGAACTACTATGGGGCCTATGGGTAACTACGGAGGCTCGAACCCAATTCCATGGAACACTGCAAGTCCTTCACCGTGCTGTTCCCGTACTGTCTGCAGATCGGACAGTTTACGGCCAAAGTGTAGTCGAAGACGGGCTTGTGTGCAGAAGCCAGCGTGGCGAGAGCCACGAGCTTAAGAGCCATGCTTCGAAGGGCTACCTGTCCTATTAAAACTAGGTCCATACACGGCTGCAGTGTCGTTGCTCACCTCATGCTTGCAGGCAGGCGCTGCGCAGAACCCTTCGTGAAGGAGCTTCATACTCGACTTTTCCGTTGAAAGCAAGCGGCGAAGCTTCGGAAAAGTGCTCGTGGCAGAAGCCTCCTGAATAACACGCCTCATGTCAGCTTAGTTTTCTGTCAACAGAAAAGACTTCATGCGTACCCCTGTCCAAGCTCCGTGAACATCTAAATGACACCCTATGCGCTTGCACTTTCAGATCTTGCGCTGGAGCTGCTGCTGTCCGACCTCGCAGCAGGGTCGCATCTGCTTGACCTGTTGGTGTTCCGGGCTTCGGTTGAGTCTCACAAAAGGGCAGCAGGTATATCTAGGGTTCCAGCGTCATAGACTTTGCATGTCAGTACCATGTATTCCTCCGTGCAGTAACATGGCCAAGCAAAGCAAGCATTGCAATAAAGCAGCAAGACATCGGCCCATGGACACCGTTAAAACTCTAAATGCTCAGTTCTTTAACCTTCTGATGGTTCTGAGGCCAGAGCTGGTCTTCCGCAGAAGATTGGGCAGATCCAGGAGCATCTTCCGCAGCCTCTTCGGCCCTTGCATGCATCTCGGAGGGAAGTCTCACTCTGTATCACCAAAGGATACAGTATAGAGATCGAAAACATAATGTCGAGGATTCTCACCTTACAAATTTTCTAGGGGCAACCTGAAGGCTAAGGTCCAGGGAAAAACAGGACAAGCGACAGCTCAGTTGCGATGAAGACAGATCATCTGCCAGCTCTTGCACTCTCTCACTGCTGGGCTCATCTAGACAAGCAGAATCCGAAAATCAGTGAGCCCCCAAGCATCTTGCACTCGACTCCAGAAGCCCTAATTCCATTCCTAATGTCGGACACCGAACGAGGATATCAGCACCGAAGGGCAACTTCTGTGCATAACTACCACAGTGCTTGCTGCATCTTCCTCCTCTAACACTGTATTCAGCGACGCACTGGAACACTGTACAAAAGTGCACCCTATCATGTTTGAAAAGGACCAACACCGAACAAACCATGAACCATGCGCCCACGTGTAACATAGGCTCAAACCCAAGGCGCTGAAACCCAAACTCCCCCCCCAGAACTCCGGCCTGACGAGAAGCACTGCCCGTATTGCCTCTCTGCTCAGATTCCAGTTGAGAAAGATCTCTGGGTTCGAAGTTCGTAGATAGGCTGCAGACTGCTACCTGTGTTTTTTCTGAGCTTGTTCACCTCTGCATCGTTGACCTACTGCTTGGCTGATCTTCAATCATCTCCCGGCGTGCCCTACAATCTCAAGCCACGCCTGCCGAGCTTCCAAGTTCAGATGCATAGTCCCTCTTCTAGGTTCCTCAGTAGCCCCTGAATCATGAAGGGGTACACTTGTTCCTACTGGTAGATTAAAAAAAAAACCACAATGGAAAAGGGCAAGAGGGTACTACTGGGGAACCCAGTCTTCATCGGAGATGAAGGATTTCCCAAAAGGTCTCAACTGCTCGTGTCACATGTACTCAGGCCCCAGAGGCGCCAAACAGGAAGTCTCTTGGGTCCCCAACTACATGGGTAGTTCTCTAAACGAGGGTCCTTTTGGGGATCCATTTCGTATGAAGGGTGCCGTACTACATTGGGGACCTATGAAGGGGCACTAATTCAAAGAACTATCCACGTCCAAGCTGAGTATTTGGACCCTTGGGGTTGGAGAAGCCCCACTTCTGAGATCGGAAGCGTCGACCATTCAGTGCAAGCAAGAAGCTAATGTAGTGGCCTTAAAAATTTGAATAGGGTTTTGGGGGTTCCTTATTCTAATTATAGTATAGTATACCCCAAACCCCATTCTGATTACATGCCCGGTAATAAAGTTTCGTCGCATCCGCTAGAGACACTAAACGGAGTACGCGGAGTACAGGAGGTGAGGGATACCCTAGCCTGGCTAGCGGAGGAATTATCACACCCGAATGAAATTAGAATATTATAATTGTTCCGGGCGGAGGACTTCTGGAGGAGTCTAGAAGGGAAAGGGGCCTTGGACAGGCTTGTTGTATGTGAACAACATAGAGGGCGACGAACTTTCGGACCGGCGCAGTATTAAGGCCCGATATTATGCTGCTAGTCTGTCCCCGAGCCCTATTCGCAACTATGAAGCAAGCCCAGCCCCGCCAGAGACTTTAAGCAGAACCTAAACCCGTAAACCCTAAACCACAAAACCCCGAAACCAAAAACCCCTACACCCTACACCCTAAACCCTAAGCCCTAAACCCCAAACCCCGAAACCCTAAACCCCTACACCCTACACCCTAAACCCTAAGCCCTAAACCCAAAATCCCGAAACCCTAAACCCCTACCCTACACCCTAAACCCTAAGCCCTAAACCCTAAACCCATAAACCCTAAGAACAACCCAGGCTGCCTGCAACTGGCTCTCTGGCACGGCGCCTGCGACGGCTTCGGCCTCCAAAAAGCCCGGGAGGTGTCCTTACGGGTTTAGGGTTTAGGGTTTATAGGGTTTAGGGTGTAGGGTTTTAGGGTTTACGGTTTAGGGTTTAGGGTTTAGGGGTTTAGGGTTTAGGGGTTTGAGGGTTTGGGTGTTTAGGGTTTGGGGGTTTAGGGGTTTGGGGGTTTAGGGATGTCCTCAAGGGTGCCCTGTCCATTCACGAAGCCCTGATGTGGTGTTTTAAATTTTATACAGGGTTGTATCTTCTAGGGCATCCTACGAAGGACTCTGTAAGGAAATACCTCTGGGCATGGCATCTTGGGTGGCAAGTGTGATTTGCCATGCTCGCAGCCTTGGAGGGGTTGGGCTTAGCATTGTCGGGTCTGGGGTTTGGGGTACTAGTCATCCTAAAACCCAAACCCTAAACCCTACTCTGAACTATCCAAGAACCGAGAAGAAAGGCCTCATCTCGCAGATCATCGTAGCCCGGATGGCACCAGCGTAGCTCCATCACCTCTGACCTGACACGGGAAGCAACATCCAAGACCCGAAGATCTACTGGAATTTACGTCTTGGGGCTTTGGGTTGGGGTTGGGATTTCGGGTTGGACACCGAGTGGTGGACCAATCTTTCTCTAGCTTGGCCAAGGGTCGTAGGCGAGGGATATTAAAGGTCTAGGACTGCACGCCTTTGCTACAGTTGCCACAGAGCTCTACATGAATAGACAGGGTCCAAAGCTCCATCAATGTTGCAAGGCAGCACTTCGAGAGTAAACATGGCACAGGCAGTAAGGTCAGATACGAAAGTTTGTTGGAGCTTGTGCGCTGAACCTCCGGCAGCTAGCAGGGAATCCTTGTTGAAAGAAGAAAAGCCGAACACAAACAACATACATGGTACATCTATCTGCACATCTAATTAATCTCTTGTTCAATACATAGCAAGGCACTTTACAGTAGATGTGCATTCGCCGCTGAAAACACATCGCTAACTGCAGAACCTTTATCCACCTATCCCCATATCTACATCTATATCTGCACCTACATCTATATATCGTGTCTACACCTGCGTAATCATGTCGACATCTAGCATACACACATCTACAGCCATGCAGAAAAACCCTAAACCCCTAAACCCTAAACCCAAAAGCCTTGCAAGGCTTGCCTCCTTCTGCCCAGGACGGTGCTCACCGACCGCGCGAAAGGCTCGAGGGATAAGAGCGCCAGGTGCAGAAGTCGGAGGCGTGGCCAGCAACCTCGGGGATGAGGGGGCAGGCTTTCTTCTTGGGGTTTACAGGGATTTAGGTTTTATAGGGTGTAGGGTTTAGGGTATATAGGGTTTAGGGTGAGGAAATAGGGTTTAGGGTTTAGGGTTTGGGGTTAAGGGTTTAGGATTAAGGGTTTAGGGTAGCGGATACTTGGTTGAGACTTTCGGGCTTTGAGGCTATAACCCTTGAGAGTTTAGGGCTTGGCAAAACGTCGACAACCCCGGAGCCCTGCAGGTTCAGGTGTGCTTGTACCCTGTCACCGAAGCTCTGGGGGTGTCTCTGTGAGCCAAGTTTAGGGTTTACGGTTCAACATTTCGGGAGTATAAGGTGCTTTGAACGTGAGGTGTGGGGTTTATAGGGGTTTAAGGTTTACAAGGCTTCAGCAGACCAGGGTGCGGGCCGCGCACATCAGCCACCAAATGGAAGCACTCGAAGGCCAAGCCTTCACAGGTGTCGGACGAACCCTTTTCAGGCAGTCAAAACTCTCGGATCCATCCCGGCTTGGGGATTTAAAGATTAGGGTGTAGAGGAACACAATGCTGGATTCTGTTCCTTGCGACTTGAATTCGCTCTATTTGCACCGAAACGTATGTACCACCTGGTCCCAACAGCGACCTTTCTGCCTCTTTGATCTTCCAAAAGTTCCCGGAACCCTGAACCCTAAACTCTAAACCAAGAACCATGGGAAACCACAGTCCAGTACCAGAGAGCATACTGATACAGACCCGCGAACCTCTAAAAAAACGGTACGTTTACGAACAAACAGTACTATTTATGTAAACAAGCATTGTGCATATATATATATATATACATACATACATACATACACACACACATACATGTATACATATATATATATATATATATATATAGTTATATATATATATATATGTATTTATATATATATATATATATACATGTATGTGACCACCCATGAACCTTCAAGGAAAAGCCGCACCTTCCTGCTGTTCGGCAAACCACTGGTTGACGATCAGCTGGAGATGGCCGTGCGGAAGATCTGCCACAGCATCTTAGAGGGACCCCTTATAGGAACCCTCAACGGAGCTCTTAATGGATCCCTTAAAGAAGCCCTTCAATAAACCATGAAAGGAACAGGGGTATGGGAACTCTTACAGGAACCCTTAATGCATCCCTTAAAGAAGCCTTTAAATGAACAATTAAAGGAATGGGGTGAGCCGGGGAAGGGGGTTTGAGGGGATTTAAGAAACCAGAAGGAAAGCGGAGTCTGGGGAAAGTAAAGGGTCGTAGGCTGGTATTCGGGACTTCGGCGTGTTCATTCTGCGTTCCATCGGCGATGGGCGGAGTAGTAGTAGTAACAGACTGCCGGCGTGGCATGTGTAGCTATCCGGGTCGTGGTCAAGGTGGCAGTCGGCGTCGTAACAGGTACAGGTGCCAGTAGCTTTGTAGCAGGCGGGAGAAGTAGGAGAAGACCAAGAGCAACAGCAGTGGCAGCAGCGGCAGCTGTCACAATGACATCACGATCAGTCTCAGCCTCAGCCTCGTCAACAACACCCGCAATATCAGAATACCTTTCCGCGGAACTAGACATGCATGTTACAATAGTGGGGTCGGTCAAGATGTGCATGACTGCTCGAAGCTTCTAGCGTGAGCAAAACCTGTGTGGCAATGTTAGCATGCAGACTGAGCTGTCAGATGATGGTTGAAACGGAAACAGCTTGGAGATTCGTGTGCTCAAAAGAAACCTGACACCGAGGCAACACCGAGGCGAAGCGGTAAACCCCAAGCCTAGACGTGCGAAGGCTGTGCAGACTGCTTCCGGGGCCTATGGAACACTCGCAGGAGCCTCGAGGAACGTCTGCCTGAAAGCTACAAGCCACTGCACACTCTTGTAGCATTCTGGTGACTAGACTAAACACCGATCGCCCGGCTCGAAATGTCAATGAAGCGATCATGCATAGATAATCTCCCCTAAATCCTAGACCCTATATAAACCCTAGACCCTAAACCCTTTTGCCCCTAAACCCTAAAACCTTTCCACCCTAAACCCTATAAACCCTAGAACCCCAAACCCGGAGAGGCCGGAGCTGGAGCATCAAAACTATCGAGGACCACTGCAAGTTTCACGATGGCAATCGACTGCTACGTTTATGTTTAGGGTTTAGGGGTTTAGGGTTTGGGGCTCCTTTGTTCAGAAAGGTGGTCTTCGGAATAGACGAACTGCAGCAAGTGGTCGAGGTGCTAGCCAAACCTAGAAATTCCACACTAAGGCCGAAATCCCGCAGCCCGAGACTGTGACCCACATGCACTGCAAAGACGATCTGAAGCCCAGCCGCTTCTGGTCTTGAGGACCAAGTCAGGGTCAAGGGCCTGGGGCTGATCTTGTGCTTGCTTGGTTTAGGGTTTAGGGTATAGGATTTCAGGTTTAGGTCTAGGGTTTAGGGTTTAGTGTAGGATCAAATACTGAGATTTTGTGTGTGACTTTCGGGGTTGCGGCTGTGAGGCGAAGGGCATCAGTGCAGACTTATGGAGAGGCACGGGTTCAGAATGTAGACTTGGGACAACCCCTAGGGCTCCAAATAGCCCAAAGTAGGTACTATATATATATATATATATAGATAGACTTTAGACCCCAAAGAGGAACTATTTGTATACTTGGAGCCTCAGGGAACGGCCCAGAGAGCCACTCAAGGACGAAGCACCTGGATTTAGATTCCGCTGGCTTGAAGGCCTCAAGTCGGCTGCCCCAGTATTCCAACCACCAAACCCTACAGTAAGGGTCCATGTACGCTATATGGGTAGTTGTCAAAATTATGGTCCCTTTTGGGGTACCCTAAATAATAGGTGCCGCATTGTAATAAGGACCCAAAAAGGGACCATAATTTTGACAACCACCCATATAGCATATACCATGGGCCCTAAACTAACTACCTATATAGGGACTACATTAAGGCCAATGTATATACTATTTGGGTACATGGACCCTTGGGGAAACCTCAAGCCTGTAGCCCATGCCGAAGGCCGAAGCCTCATGTGATACTGGCGCCATGCGGCACAGCCGCAATGGCTTTGCACCTCTGCAGTGCCTCTGCATGTCCTCAGGGCGACGAGCATGCAAGCCACATGAGAAACAGCAAAAACCAACAAGACGATCATACTGAAAAGAATCGACATGTTTAGGTTTGCGGCCGTAACGAAAAGGCATTTGTGCATGCATATATATATATATATAACTCAAGTATGTATTTATTCGATTGTTTCTGGAATTTGCTCACTCGTCTGCGGCACTATTAACACAAACTAACTCCTGCTGCTTCTAAAGCAACTTCCCACCCCACCAACAAGCACCATCGGGCCTTTGTAGTACTGCCGGTTATCCCGTCTGTGGCACTTTGCGTACAGCTCCTGGAACATGTGGCAGCGAGGGCCAAATGACAAATCAAGGAAACGTGAAATGAACAAACCCTCGACCAGAGCACAGAGCAAGAAAGGGGTTGACAGCATGCGAATCAAGAAGTCGATTGCACATGGCACTGCAACCTGTAGCTTAAACATCCATGTACCCTGAACAGTAAGCCACCCCTGCCCCAGTCAAAGTCTTCGTCCCCGTGTTGTTGAATCAAACCACAAGGACCTGAGCTCTCATGCTTCCACCTGCACTTAATTACCTCCGCCTCTACCCCGCGCGAAACGTCCAACCTTGAACAGCGCGGCATCCACCACGTCAAATGCACGCCGTCCCCTCCAGGGCGAAATGCAGGCCTCTGCGAAGTTGCTTAGTTGTCAAGATGTCGTTGACTTTTTTGTCTGCCTTTCTGGCAAGAAGGTGCACAAACACTACCGAACTCACCCTAAACTCTAAACCTCTCTGCACTCAGCCATCTCTCGCACTCCAACTGAAGCAACAAAAACTGATCTCAAGCGACCTACCACCACCGTCACACAGCTGAGCTGCAAAGTAGCTCAAGGGTGACACCAAGCACATTTAGGGGTGTAGGTGCTTCTAAGATTCGTGTATCTGCTCTTGATGAGGCAGCAGCCCCAGGCAAAATCCACATTGGCATGTTCGTGGCTGTCGTGCATCAAGACACTGATTATGAAAGCTATGTCGCTGACTGGCACACAAACACAGCTTCACGAGAACTTTAAAAATCTAGACACATCTCAACCCCACCGAACACTTTCGACAGAGTGCCTCCAGGCTCGTCCATGATGCAAAAGTCCAGGCCACCTTGCAATGCAATGGAACGTTGCATCCGATCGTCTCAGCCTGTACCTACAGTCTCCAATGCAATGCAACCTTTAAGTGCACCAGCAATTTTATTTTCAGGATCCGGTACAAAACACGCGAAACGACATCTTGATGGAGGTGACGCCAGTCTTGCACTCTGGTGTCTAGACTTGGTGGCTCAGAGGACTTAGTAGGCTTACAAGTGCCCTTAAGCAAGGACGACAGCGGAGTGATTTTCGAACGAGCTTCACATGGCTGCGAAGTATTTGCTGGTAAGGCTCGCACCTTTCCATGAAGGTGCGCTCGAGACGCCAGGAACTTGAGGAGATCTCGACACACCTGGCATTGTGCAGTTCGCATCTTCGTTTAGAGTGTCGGGCTGGGTTGAGGCTGGAAACTGAAGTACAAGCATTTCACGAGTCTCAAAGTGAATCGGGTTTAACACATTTTCCTTCGAGCGGCTCAGCGGTCTGTGCATGATAGTTGCCCAACAAACGGCCCGCCCAGAGAACCCAATACCCCTTAATTAAGGAATATACCTTAAACTATAGGGGCCCTAGTATTATGATGTAAGGTATATTCCTTAAATAAGGGGTATTGGGTTCTCTGGGGCCACCTGCTGCGTCCGTCGAGGGGATGCGGCATCCGCCGGCAAAGCCGCGTGGCGCTGGAGGAGAGCCTGTGAGCTTGCTTCCCAAAGGGGCCCAAGTACCAATACAGCAGGCTCTTAGTAGATATTTGACCCTAAACCCTGAACCCTAAACCCTATGATATTTGGGCGCCGAAAGTATATGCTATGCTGTTACTTGGACCCCTTGGGCTCGTGGAAGCCGGAAGTGGAGCTCTTGACTTGGAATCCGAAGGAAAGAAGGCTCCAGGATTTTCGGAAACTTGGCACCCTTCAAGAAGTGGTGGGGCCCCGAACCTGCAAACAGAAACGCACGGCAAACAACAACAGTACTTGGACAAACCTACTAAATACCCCGCCCCTCGTGCCAAGTGTCCTCCAACAGTTTCAGTGTCGTCAGAAGCTGTCGACTCCAAACCGTTAGACCCAAAAAGCAACAAACCCGTTGATCCTTGAACCCCCGGAACCGCTAACCGCCACGAAACAAAGAAAAACACTCGTCTAATTTCACCCCCCTCTCCTGCTTCCCAGAGAGCCTAAGACCCCTTATATTCAAGGAATATACCACCTTAAATCATACTATTAAGGCCCCTATAACCTAAGATATATTCCTTAATTAAGGGCTTTTGGGCTCTCTGGGTTCTCCGCCCAGCAATGCCCCAAGGCCTCCTCGGAAGCCCTCGGCTCCTTCCCTCCAACCCGGAAACCCAAAGAAGAAGCGTCCTCAAGCCCCCTGAATAGCCCAGAGAACCCAATACCCCTTAAAAAAAAGGAATATACCTTGAATCATAGGGGGGTTAATATTATGATTTAAGGTCTATTCATTAGTTAAGGGGCATTGGGCTCTCTGGGATAGGCTCCTTATATATCTTGTGACCCAAGGTGCACCCCCCCAACACCCGTAGACCCGTTCGGCAAAGCACCCATACCATACCCCTCGATCGTTATGACCTCCCATAAACTGAGTTGCTGGGTTCATAAGCCTAAAAAAGTTTACACTTTCAGTTTTAATAATGGGTAGCATTATCCCAACAAGTGTAAAGTGTATCCACTCAGCTACCAAGTAATCCCCATGAAAATCCTTTCAGAAGCCCAGCAAAATCAGAAACCCTAAAGCTCCTAGACCCCTATCAAACCCTGCAAGCCCCCTTTCTAAAAGAACCCTGATAGCAGCCCTTACAGAAACCCTCAAAAGCTCCCCGAACCCTCAACCCCTAAACCCTAAACTCCTAACCCCTAAACTCCGAAACCCTAAACTCCTGAACTCTAAACCCCTAAACTCCTAAACCCTAAACCCCTAAACCCTAGACCCAAACCCCCAAATTCCTAAATCCCCAAGCTCCCCGACCTGCCGAGAACCCAATACCCCTTTCCTCAAAAATCATAGTCAGGGTTTAGGGTTTAGGCGTGCAGGGTTTAGGGGTTTCGGGTTTGGGGGTTTAGGGTTTGGGGGTTTAGGGGCTTTAGGGTTTAGGGTTCTCTGGGCCTGCCAGGAGCTCGAAGCCACGGAAGCCAAGGCCCGGCTGCAGGCGCCGACGCGGCCAACCTCCCGAAACTCCCACGGCGGTAGGGTTACTACAAGGGTACTATAGGGGGTTCAGGGTTTAGGGGTTTAGGGCTTAGGGGTTCAGGGTTTGGGGTTTAAGGGCCTAGGTCCCACGGCGGTTACGGGCTCCTTTAAAGCGTTACGAAAGAAGGGATCTATAAGGGTATTCTAAGGATACCATAAGGGTTTAGGGGTTTAGGGTTTAGGGTTTAGTTACGGGCTCCTTTAAGGCGTTAGGAAAGAAGGGCTCTATAAGGGTATTCATAAGGATACCATAAGGGTTTAGGGGTTAAGGGTTTAGGAAGGTTACGGGTTCATTTAAAGCGTTACGGAAGAAGGGATCTATAGGGTTACTGTCAGGGTACTATAGGGGTTTAGGGTTTAGGGTTTAGGGGTTTAGGGGTTTAGGGGTTTAGGGTTTGGGGCTTAGGGCTTAGGGTTACGGGCTCCTTTAAAGCGTTACGACAGAAGGGATCTATAAGGGTATTCTAAGGATACCAGGTTTAGGGGTTTAGGGTTTAGGGTTTAGTTACGGGCTCCTTTAAAGCGTTACGAAAGAAGGGATCTATAGGGTTACTATAAGGGTACTATGAGGGTTTAGGGGTTTAGGAGTTAGGGGCTTAGGGTTTAGGGGTTTAGGGGTTTGGGGTTTAGAGTGTTGGGGTTTAGTGGTTTGGGGTTTGGGGTTTAGGGTAGGTATACTCGAAGGGGTAACCATGATAACAGCAATAATAACAAATGGGGCTGATACAGAAGAAGCTCTATCTATCTGTCTGTCTATCTACCTATCTACCTACCTGTCTATCTCTCTCTCTCTATCTATCTACCTATCTACCTATGTATCTATCTATCTATGTTTCTATCTATCTATCTATCTATCTATCTATCTATCTATCTAACTATTTTCTGTCTACCTATCTATCTATCTATCTATCTATCTATCTGTCTATCTATCTATCTATCTATCTATCTATCTATCTCTCGCCCGAGCCACATACCTACCTGTCTGTCTAACGATCATCTATCCATCATTTATCTATCGATCTTGTATACCTATCTATCTATCTATCTATCTATCTATCTATCCACCTATCTGTATCTCGACCTATCCACATACGTATCTGGCCGCCTGTCATCTATGTATCGATGTTACATACCTATCTATCTGTCTGTTTATCTAACTATCATCACAACCCAAAGCCTAAGCCCTGAGCACGCTTATTGTTGATATAACTGTTGTTGTTCATATTGTGCGTCGTACGGCGTACGGTTCTTCTTCCTGCTACCATTCTTACTATGACAGTCGCATGTAATAACATACCCTTTGTTTCTGCTTATAATCATACCGTTACGATGTTACTTGCTACAACGAGTATCACCATCATCATCATCATCATCATTAGCTGTCTACTACTATGAATATTGTTGCTGCGATAGTGAGTGTTCTGAGGAAAAGCCCTGCAAGACATGTCCAGAAGAGCCTGAGTGCATAGCCGGCGAATGCGATTAGGGTCTGACATGGTTTGGGCGTTTAGAGTTTGGGGTTTAGGCTTCAGGGTTTCGGCGCACTTGAATCGAACATATAAGCATCGCAGCAGCGACGCCTCGCGAACCTCCAGCAGCAAATACACCTCGTGAGAGCGCAGACTCGAGGTCCAACGAAGCTTTGCGGTGTTTCAAACTTAATAACCCCAAGGGTCCAAAGGACCCAATCATCAGGTACTTAGGTTTCGGATAGTAGTTATGTAGGTTTCTCTTTGGGTGAGTATATGAATATTAGGTGCTTGGACCCTTAGGGTAATTTAGGCAAGGGGAAGCCTCCAAGTCTTCCCAATCGCACTTTTGAACACAGAAACACACAGATGACCCTAAGGGTCCATGTACCCAAATAGTAGGTACTTCGGCCTTAAAGTAGTCCCTATATAGTTACTTTGGGGCCAAAGTATATACTATTGGGGTACATGGACCCTTCGGATGATGGATGCGGTTCAACATGTACACACAGATACGCACAAGCACTGCATGTCTACATACTTGCACACCTAAGGCATAAGGTGTATTCATAGTGCGCAAATAACTGTAGCATATATACCAACAAAGCATGAACTCTGCTGCGGCGCTTCCGAAGCTTCCAGCGCCGAGTCGGGCGAAGGCCCGGCAGGCATGTCGCGTCATGGCTCTCAAAAAGCCAGGGCCGAGGGACGAGTGACTAGGGGAGTAGGATGGCTGGATGTTTAACAATCCCTAACCTCCCAGATACCTACTATATAGGGCCCCAGGGGCTCTAGTACCTTATATAGTAGGTAACTGGGGGGTTAGGGAATCTTGTGACTATAGCTCTATATGCGCCGTTCGCAAGATTTACACGCAAGTCTGTGACATGTCTTCTCGTGCAATGACAGCAGTCAGCAGCACTTCGTCCGAGATCCGTTGGAAAGAGTTAACACCACGTGCTCAGCGACTGCTCGCAACACCCGTGCACAAAGCTTCTGTGGAGGAGGACAGGAGAGCGCCCAGGCGCCCTAGCACCCCTAGTACCCTTAGTACCCCTAGTACCCCGAGTCTAGCACCCCTAGTACCACTTTTGATGCCGCAAGCACGGCTCAGCCCTTATGCAGTCCTGGCTCTGCAGTTGCAGGACTGCTTCAGATCACCATCGAGTGGGTGCTTCCGGCATGCTTTGTACAGAGGGGTTAGGGTTTAGGGTTTAGGGAACTTCAAAACTCAGGCACCTGTACATGTCACGGGCAAGCCAATAACTACACTTACGCTAACTACGTACCGACAGATTAATTACCCGGAGGCTGCAAAAAGCCACTTCAGAAAACGATCCTGCCTGGCAGAAAACATCCTAGCACTCGAAGACTAAGAAATGTTGGAGCCTCCGGGAGGCCTTCGCCATTGACGCGTGCTTGCGTCAAATAGTTTCGGCTCAGGGTTTATTCTGGCCCACAGCCATCAATGGATGTAGCCTTAAACCTTAGAGCCAACAGAACCGAGAAATGACTGAGACCAGCGCTAGTCAGTCAACCCTGGCCAGAAAAACCATCCAGACATAGAAGCCTTCTTCTCAGGCCTTCTGCACGCACAGATCAGGGGTCCAGGGAAGCCCCAGAAACTCGGGATACACATTTGTAAAGATCTCCAATATTCCTTGTCGATTGTGAGTTGAAGATACTGTTACACTACCGGATAATGATGGATAGAATGATAGAAGAGTGTCTGGAAAGCCCCGATCTAGATCCCGATAGATGATGAACAAACACAAAGCAAACCCACGATGGAGTCATCGGCTGTATAGCCACCGAGGACGGAGGTGTACCTTACTCGCGACAGCGAGGTAGAGTGTAACCTTTAGGAGCATGTGATTAAGGCTTCTACCGACAAAAACGAAACGTGCTTGCTGCACTACCACAGCACATGCTGCTGCCCATTGCGAAATGCTTGATCACCACGCGGAACTGCTTCCTCAAGCAGGAGCGCGGATAAAGCCCTCAACTCCTAAACTGCTGCCCTATGAACCCCTCTACAAGCATTGACGCCCTGCAGCCCTGAACTCACTGTACCCGCGTAGCGCCCTTTGGGAACCCCTAAACAGTACAAGAAGTCAGACTATGCAAAGCCAACACACGTAGGCAGCATGTCGTGAGCTAGAGGGTGAGGGAAGGTTTTGCGAGCAAGACTTGTGGCAAGCTGAGCAATGGCATGCTATCCTATGCACCGGACAATGCCGGGTGCGTTGATCTCCGGCATACCTTCTCGAAAAAAAAGTGCTCACCCTATCAGGGGACTTGTGATGGGGTTCCTGTTCCTTAGGCTCCCTTTCCAGGGGTAATGTAGGGGTAATAATAATTGGAACAGGGTTTTGGTGTATATTAAACTATAACTATACTAAGGACCCCCCCCAAGCCCCACCAAACTAGCATAGATTTTTTTTTAAGGCACCTATATAACTATGTATAGTATAATATACCTCCTCCAAAACCGAATTCTAATGATTAAGGCCCCTATATTAAACCCACCCAAACCCCATAAAACCACATAAAAACCCTAAACCCCTGGCCCAAACTAGTATAGGTAATTATTAAGGCCCCGATATTGCCACAATGGCCCTAAACCCTAAACCCTAAACCCCTGTATTACCACAATGGACTCCCTTTAGGTCCCCTTTAAAGCGCAGGCAGGTCTCCGGAGCGTCTCGTTGAGAAGCGCTGAAAGATCGCCGAGATCGCTTTCCTTAGTTGCTGAGCTCATAAGCCGCAAAAAAGGTATAGGGTTTAGGGGTTTAGGGGTTTAGGGGTTTAGGGTTTAGGGTTTAGGGTTTAGGGGTTTAGGGGTTTAGGGGTTTAGGGGTTAGGGTTTAGGGTTGAGAGTTGAGGGTCTATAAGGAATCATAGTATCCCAAAAATGTGCACTTTCAGTTCTATAAGGGATCATAGTATGATGCTCAGCAAAAAGTGTAAGGTGTACTCCCTCAGCTACTAAGTTTCCCAGTCTTCGCCGTCAGAGTCTGTGCCATCCAGCCCGACGATCGCCCGGTGCAGTTCCTTTGCTCACAGTGCTCAGTCCAAAGCCGAGCTGCACTGGCTTATTGTTTATACTATTGTTATTTTTTACTCTTGTTATTATTCCTATTATTACCAGTCATTACTATTATTAATGATAGTATTGTTACTCTTGTTATTTCTATTTTGATAATGATGCTTGCTATTGGTAAATCATACATGTTTTGTGACTTCCCAAATCTAAAGTCTTTTAACCCGTCGGAACCATAAGCCAGCTCAATGCCCCTGAAGCCCCATCCAGCCGCCTGTACAACCACCACAACCCCCTTACCAAGCCCTCCATCCCCAATGACCCAACAACTGCGCCTAAACCCTAAACCCTAAACCCTAAACCCTATACCCTAAACCCTAAACCCTAAACCCTATACCGTAAACCCTAAACCCTAAACCCTAAACCCTAAACCCTAAACCCTCTTCAGACCCTCCCTTTTTCTTAAGGGGAGCCTTCACTCAAATCCTACACCCTAAACCCTACCTGGACCCCAAAGAGCCTACCTTTTTTAGGGCTCCTTATTATGATTTCTTTATAGAAGTCCTTAAAAAGGTAGGTTCTTTGGGGTCCAGGTAGACCCTAAAACCTTCACTCTGAGAGTCGCGGGTGTTCATGTACGGAATCCAGGTCTGCGACATGTGCTTCCGGAGGCTTTCGTGGAGCCCCAGGGCTTGGTAGCAGGCCTCTGAACAAAGGCAGCTGTTAGGGTTTTCATGTAGGGGCCTTAATAACTAGAGTAGGGTTTCGGGTTCCTTTTTTAATATATGCTTAACAAGGAACCCCAAGAATAAGATTGGTAATTATTGAAGCTTCTATGGTAGGGACTTGGGTTTGGGGTTTAGGAAGTTAGGGTTCTGACAGGGTTTTATGAGGGCTCCATGAGTGTCTTGGAGGGATGAAAGACAGCGTCGTGGCGTAAAGAGCAGCGACAACAATGATAGGTCCTGTCGGATTTGCCATGCTACAGGAATACGAGGGCCACAAGGTCACAGAGTACACCATCGTGTTCAGATTCTTTCCCGAAGGGTCCAAGTATCTAATAATCATATACTTTCCCAAGTAGTAACCTACATAACTACTATCCGAAACCCAAGTACCTGATTACTTGGTTGTTTGGACCCTTGGGGTTTGGGGCTTTGGGATCCCCGGGCCTAGGCTTCGCACTTCTGGGCCTTTCCGCTCTGCGTATCAGTACTGAATCCGAGCCGTTTGCGTTCACTGCTCGGCCGCTGGGCCAGAACACATAATTGGGGTTTAGGGTTTAGGCCTAAGCACGCAGCACTCAGAATGAACACCCTGCAATAAACCAACGCTAGACTAAGCACGAAAGGGACCTATATGATGGTGGCCCTTTTCCAACCTCAATCCGAACTCCCAAACGATCCGAGGGTTCTGAATGTTGGGTTTCAATGTCTTTCGGGCTAGAAGGACTTGTGCTATTGAGCCGGAACCTATCAGCTACCAAGACCCCAACCATCAGAGCCTCAAGAGGATTCTCGCCGGGTCTGCTGAGAACGATTGGGATGCCAGGAAAGCCACCTGGTCTGACTTAGGGTTAAGGGCTTCGGGTTTAGGGCTTAGGGTTTAGGGTTTATAAACTCTAAACTAGGCTTTGGAAGGAGTGTGACACTATAGTGTGACCGAAGAACTTCGGATCTTGGCCTAGAGGCTCCTCCTATTCAGCGATTGAGCAGTGTACGTTCGCGGCCTACTGCGAACTTTCGTTTGGGAGACATGTGCAAAGCAGACCCTGAGCCTCTGGGCTATCTTATGTCGTCATCGTTACCTCTACATGTGCAGATCACTACTCCTCTGCACCTCACTACACCACACATCTATTTAGGCGGGATGCTCGAAACGGGCCGCATGTCGGCAACGATTCTCTGTGCTTCCGCCGGCGCGATGTCCATGTTGTAGACCCACTTCTTGGAAGCGTCGTGCCGGAAGAGGAGCAAGTACTCCGTCACTTCTGGGTTTACAAGGTACATGGGCGACGGGTCAAAAGTCAGCACGGCTTCCAAGACAGCACCGGTCGTGATACCCAACTCTGACAGAGTCTTGTCCCCAGGCAAAGGGCCTGTGGTCGACAGCAAGTCACCTGGCGGCCGCAAGCACATTTGCGATGTCTCGACAGTTATGTTTTTGTTGGCGCGCATGCAAGATCTAGCAGAAACTAGCAACTCTAGCAGTATAGATATCAAGAATCAAGAATGCAAGCCCCCACCATGCCTACAGCTCCTGTTGGGGTGTGCTTCTGCAGCTCCCGCTGCAAGCTTGAAACCGATGCCGCCGCGGGCCACGCCAGAGACGTCAAGAAGCTCCCCGATGCAGCATAAACGATGGTGAGCTGAACCGTTCCGTCAGCCGCCATCCCAAAAAGCAGCACCGAGGGCTTCCGAATTCCGCTGTTAACTTAACTCAAAACCGATGCCTGTCTGAGATGGGCGACGGTCTGTTCTGAGCATGCTGACATCCCGTGACAAGGCTTCCGGGTATAGCATGATTCGCTGCATGTCGCTGAAGCTACTTGTTCAAGGCCTCGGCAAGCTCTAACTCTTGAGCCTTGGGTTGTGAACGCCATAACCGTCCTCCTAACTGCAGTACTCAG